CAAACTCAATAATCAAAACCTAACCTTAACAATAGCATTTAGCTTTATTTATATTAAATATGGCTCTATTTACTATAAATATCTTATACTGAATATTTTCCTACAATATAGCTTTATTTACTATATTTATCTTATCATGAATATTTCCCTTAGTTCTATTTACTATAATTATCTTATACCAAATATTCCCCTATGATATAGCTTTATTCACTGTAATTATTTCCCACTCATCCTAACTGCTACAACAGTTAGGATAGTAACTCTTCAATCGATCAGCTCCAGTTCTTCATCTCTTTCCATCGATCGGATCGGCTCCTGTTCTTCACCTCTTTCCACCGTTCGGCTTGAGCCCTCACTGCCTTCAGCCATTCGGCTCGACCTCTCCCCACCTTCCACCGTTTGGTTCCCTTCTTCTTCTCTCTCACCGTCTTCCACCGTTCGGCTCGACCTCTCTCCGTCTTCCACCGTTCGGCTCGACCTCTCTCCGCCTTCCACCGTTCGGTGTCATTCTTCTTCTCTCGTATACCTTCCAACCCCTAACATTATCTATTACCTTATACCCTATCAGAAGTTCTTAGTATAGTAATTTCATATTTTATCAATGGAACATGGAAACTTTATCATCTAGGTTAGCAGTTAGAAAAGCAGTTTCTGCAAGAATAGAATTTAAATAAACTGTCAAAAGATTTAATATCATCAACAATGAAAATATGACATGATGTAGGTGTTGTAGGTTTCATATTTTCCTACCAGTAGCCAGTAGGTGTAAGAATGGAAATTTAAATGCAGGTTTGCAGTACGAGGCCCTATTCTAAGCAGTAACTATACGAGATACTTGAAATATGCAGTATCTAGACAAAGCTAGAAATCTGTGAAGTAGGGAAAAAGGCTAAGGAAATCTGTGCACTAAGGATAAAATTATTTAGCCCAAAGAGTTCAATTGTAAATGGGTTGCAGTTGATAAGATCTTAATGAATAGATTCAAAAATAATAAAAAAGTGTTTCTTTCTTGATTTCATTGGAAGGACCATTTCCAAGGTGTGTACCCTGTTCTAGTCTGTTATGGTCATCATTTTGACACAATACATTCCGATTCACTGTCCTTTGAAATGGGCAGGCTCAAGGGAATTTGTGAGAGAATTTGTTTAAAGCAGAAGAACAATAATATGCTTGAGTGTGTTTAATAGAATATTGGTCGATGGATGGAAATGTGATTTGATTCTTTTTTCTAATGCCTATGCTTATCTGTTTTTTAATGATATGTACAGAACCAAAGTCACTATTGATCACAATACACAACTGGCTCCATTAGAACAATTGTGGAGCACGGACCCTGCTGACATGATTTTACAAAATGTACAAGTAATTGTACATAAGTTTTTTGCAAGGAACAGTTTAAGGTAATCTTCTGAACTTAGACGGACCTATTAAAGTCAAATGCAACAGCAAGACTTGTGTAGATTGTATTAAGTCTTCCAAGCAATAGGATTATACTATTGCTAGCCACGTCTGTGATAGGACTTGGCAGTGTTGTTTGGTAAGGGATTGGCAAGGCAGGTAGGACTTAAAGGGAACTTTGCTACTGAGCCTTTAACAGATGCTAAAAGATCTGTTTACTTTTTCATTGCTAACACCTTAACCTTTATTGATTTGATACCATTTACCATCAAAATAAGGAAAATAGACCTTATTTAACTCCTTTTTTCATTTTCCAAGACATAATCAGTATGTTTGAATTTTCAAAGATAACAGTTGAGATCTANACTCCCTTCAAAGAAGGCAGGGTTTGCTCATCCTCTAACCAACGACAGCCGCTACCTTGCAAACAACGCTGCACCTTTCCCGTAGAAGAAGGGTCACGCCACCATAACTCGGCGGCCTTCTTAGCCTTCAATGTCAAACGCGAGCAAATCGCTCCTTCGCCGGAGTTGGAGAGTCACGATGGAGGAGCTCGCGGCTTTTGGTTGGTTCGGTGGTGGCTCACGGTGAGGAGCTCCTGAATGGCGGCACCGGTAACGGTTGCTAACAGTGGTTTTGATTTCTGAATATGTGTTTCAAGTGCCGATGATCTGTGATTTGGATGGTTGGATTAGCGTTTTGCAGGTGAAAGAAATTGGAGATGGTGTGGTTGATGGGAAAATTTGATGAAGACGATGGGAGTAGATTCTGTTTTGTATTTTCTTTTCTGATTGGATTAAGTAACGAACATGAACATGCAAAGAGCTGAATCTGATTTTGAATGAGTATGCATTGTCTAGTTTCCTCCACTAATGTTTTTGTTCTCTGGATATGGCTTCTCTGTGCAGGTTGGAAAGATGAAATCGAGGTTAAAAGAAGAAGGTGAGGTTGTATCTCACTTGGTAGAGGATACAGAATCATGGAGAAGGGTCACCGATGGTGTTGAAAGGAATTGAGAATGAATTTGATGGCTATGTTTGATGATAAATGAAATAGAGCGATGAATGAAAGCATTATGAAATGAATGATGGAGTACCAGGGATAGATAACGTGAATTGATGAGTGAGGGAGGAAATGTAATATCACAGTCAATAACAATATCATAAACATTAGCAGAAATCCATCCATTACAACACATTTCAACTATTAAGATGAATCTAATCCATAACATATACATATAATGATTTCATGCAAGTTCATGACATACCCGTTGAAGCTTCTTCTAATTTTTCTTCTTTTTCAGGCTCTTTTGCTTTCCTCTTCCTTTGTTTCGAGACTTTTTCGTTTCTCCTGTTTCTTCTTTTCTCCTCTCACGACCCTCTCCTCTCTTTTTTCTTTTTTGGTTTCCCCGCTTGGGTTTTATTTCAGTCAAAGTTCAGGAAAGTGAATATGGTCTCCCTCGTGTAGCTCGTGGAACCCTTCAGCTTGGAAGCCCGTGATCAGAATGTGGAGAGGCATGATTGGAGGCTTGGTTGGGTAGGAGCAGGAAGTGGTATATAAAGGAGAAACTAATGATGACGGAGGTCGTGGATTTGGTAACACGGATCAAAATTAATAAAGAGAAAATAAAACAAATAGAATAAAAACAAAATACGATAAAACCAAAACAAATAAAATAAAACAAAATAACGTAAAATGAAAAGAAAATAAAATAAAATATAATAAAATAAAATAAAACAAATTGAAATTAAACAAAATTCAATTCAATTAAATATAAGATAAATAAAAGATAAGATAACAATAAAAAGGTTTGATTTATTATATTTTTTATTTTGTTTAAGATATCCGGTTTCCAAACTATGAAACTAGTCTTAGATAGCTCATTGTAGTCTTAAAATTGTATTTTAGTCCAATGTAATTTATTGAGAATAACTTTCACAAAGGAAAAACACAAATTATTAACTAGATTTGAGCTTGGACATTCAATAATAAGTCTGAAATGGCTTATCCGAAAGTCCTGTAATAATGTTCAATGTAGTTGCAATAACAACATTCCTGGAATTCTTCCACAATCATTAGCTCAACTAAACAAGAACTCTTAGGTAAAATTGGGAAGTTCTTACAGCTTGTACAGATTCAAAATCTGGTCATTGCTTTGTAATGGAACACCAACGCTATATAAAGGAGTTCTGTGTATCATCGAAGCAACATCATAGATCAATTTATTACGTAACCTTATTTTTTTCCTATAAGTAGATTGTTATTAATTTCTGTATAGTTCAATCAAACGTAACCCAACTAATTGTTGAAGCTAGTTAACACGCTCGAAACCAAGTTGAGCGTCTACTTCAAAATAAAAGGAAAACAATTAATTCTATCACTTCATTTAAATATAATTAGAAATGTTACAGGTTGCACAACAAACACCAGCAACAGTATATTATTACTTTTAACGCTATATTACTATGCTCTGTAAAAAAACTTGACTAAAAGTTGTTTTAATAATCAGAAAACAATTATTAATTGCAATTGCATCCAGGACTGATATAACAAACATAAATGACGAGACTTTTCAATTTATCATTTAGAGATAAATAATCCTATCCTACCCTATAATATGTACAAATATTGAGAACCTACATTTTTAAAGTTTCTCTTCTATAATATGTACGTAGATTTTTGGAGACTTTGGGACTTTCCAAGGATGAGATTAGGAGTATGGTGTTGAGATGCCCAGCACTGCTCACTTTCAGTATAGAGAATAATTTTCAGCCAAAGTATGACTATTTTGCTGGGGAAATGGGGAGGAAAGTGGAGGAGCTGAAAGAGTTTCCTCAGTACTTTGCTTTTAGTTTGGAAAACATGATAAAACCCAGACACACCGAGGTTGTGCAGAGTGGAATCACTTTACCTTTGTCAGTGATGCTTAAAAGCACTGATGAAGAATTTAGGGAGTTGTTAAAGCAGGGAGGTGGCTGACTATAGTGGGTGCATTCCATTATGTGTATTTACTTCTGTGAATGAAAAGTTTTCCAATGAAGTTGAACTGTTTGATAAATTGTTTATATGTCTGGTATTTTTTACTTTCTTAGTACAGACTTCTCATGCGAAGTTACTGATATATATACTAGTTAAGTTGCCGTCTCAAATCTCTGGTTGCGTTTTTATCGTATTGAGTATATTGATGATACTGAGAAGAAAAGATGAATGAAGTTGTTAGGTTCCTGAGTAAGAAACCTAATTACAGTAGAAAGAAAAGATAATGAAAGAATGAATTTCTCTTATTAATGGTAATAGAATTTTGTAAACAAAGGATAGTTGGAAGCATAACTTCCCTTACAAAACAAGGATAGATGGGAGCATAACTTCCCTCACCTGCAGCCGTCTGTCAACAAACTCAATAATCAAAACCTAACCTTAACAATAGCATTTAGCTTTATTTATATTAAATATGGCTCTATTTACTATAAATATCTTATACTGAATATTTTCCTACAATATAGCTTTATTTACTATATTTATCTTATCATGAATATTTCCCTTAGTTCTATTTACTATAATTATCTTATACCAAATATTCCCCTATGATATAGCTTTATTCACTGTAATTATTTCCCACTCATCCTAACTGCTACAACAGTTAGGATAGTAACTCTTCAATCGATCAGCTCCAGTTCTTCATCTCTTTCCATCGATCGGATCGGCTCCTGTTCTTCACCTCTTTCCACCGTTCGGCTTGAGCCCTCACTGCCTTCAGCCATTCGGCTCGACCTCTCCCCACCTTCCACCGTTTGGTTCCCTTCTTCTTCTCTCTCACCGTCTTCCACCGTTCGGCTCGACCTCTCTCCGTCTTCCACCGTTCGGCTCGACCTCTCTCCGCCTTCCACCGTTCGGTGTCATTCTTCTTCTCTCGTATACCTTCCAACCCCTAACATTATCTATTACCTTATACCCTATCAGAAGTTCTTAGTATAGTAATTTCATATTTTATCAATGGAACATGGAAACTTTATCATCTAGGTTAGCAGTTAGAAAAGCAGTTTCTGCAAGAATAGAATTTAAATAAACTGTCAAAAGATTTAATATCATCAACAATGAAAATATGACATGATGTAGGTGTTGTAGGTTTCATATTTTCCTACCAGTAGCCAGTAGGTGTAAGAATGGAAATTTAAATGCAGGTTTGCAGTACGAGGCCCTATTCTAAGCAGTAACTATACGAGATACTTGAAATATGCAGTATCTAGACAAAGCTAGAAATCTGTGAAGTAGGGAAAAAGGCTAAGGAAATCTGTGCACTAAGGATAAAATTATTTAGCCCAAAGAGTTCAATTGTAAATGGGTTGCAGTTGATAAGATCTTAATGAATAGATTCAAAAATAATAAAAAAGTGTTTCTTTCTTGATTTCATTGGAAGGACCATTTCCAAGGTGTGTACCCTGTTCTAGTCTGTTATGGTCATCATTTTGACACAATACATTCCGATTCACTGTCCTTTGAAATGGGCAGGCTCAAGGGAATTTGTGAGAGAATTTGTTTAAAGCAGAAGAACAATAATATGCTTGAGTGTGTTTAATAGAATATTGGTCGATGGATGGAAATGTGATTTGATTCTTTTTTCTAATGCCTATGCTTATCTGTTTTTTAATGATATGTACAGAACCAAAGTCACTATTGATCACAATACACAACTGGCTCCATCAGAACAATTGTGGAGCACGGACCCTGCTGACATGATTTTACAAAATGTACAAGTAATTGTACATAAGTTTTTTGCAAGGAACAGTTTAAGGTAATCTTCTGAACTTAGACGGACCTATTAAAGTCAAATGCAACAGCAAGACTTGTGTAGATTGTATTAAGTCTTCCAAGCAATAGGATTATACTATTGCTAGCCACGTCTGTGATAGGACTTGGCAGTGTTGTTTGGTAAGGGATTGGCAAGGCAGGTAGGACTTAAAGGGAACTTTGCTACTGAGCCTTTAACAGATGCTAAAAGATCTGTTTACTTTTTCATTGCTAACACCTTAACCTTTATTGATTTGATACCATTTACCATCAAAATAAGGAAAATAGACCTTATTTAACTCCTTTTTTCATTTTCCAAGACATAATCAGTATGTTTGAATTTTCAAAGATAACAGTTGAGATCTACGTCAGATGTATAACTTTGCACTAATATACCTATGGAATGAATAATAACAACTTTGTTTTGTATTTATTAGGTTTGTAATCATTCATGTATATAAATTTCCAAGGCTGAGTGCACTTTTACTCAAGCTTTACACTCAGTCTCAAAAAACCAAAAATAGAAAAGGAGAAAACATAGCATTAAAAAAAAAATTAGTGTGATTATAAAAAAAGAGACATTAATGTCTTAGAACATACTTTATTCGAGGCTTCGCTGCTTTTATCTGCAATGATTTCAGTGTTGGCAGAATTGCTGTAATGGATCAAATGAACAGGTTACTCTATATAATCCAAGATGCATAAAAATAAATTTGCAATCACAAGTGCTCAAAAATAAACTTTTGAACAGATAATGCTAAAAGAAAATTGTAGCAGATTCAAACCGAAAATAAGAACACTTACAAACCTGGGTAGCTTTGATGCAAATGAATGAGAGGCAACTTTTAGTATACTGGGATGTACACTTACGTCAACAAGCACCGCATGTAAAGCGTAAAAATGGAAGGACAATACGAATGCAATCCTATAAGAGGATTAGGAGGTATTCGGAATTCATGGATACAGGAAGCATCCAGAGGGAGATCCAATTCGACACTATAGATGACACACTCCCATCAACAATCAACATGTCAGTTTTATAGCCAATGCTCCAAATTTGTTCGAATGTGCCTGCATAACGAAAAATTAAGAAATTCTACCACATGAAAACTTGATTTCTCTAATTCAAACCAAGCAGATGACCGGGTATCCTTCCAAGAAAATCAAGTGGCAAATAGAGAGAATTTTTCTGAAAGCAGTGGCTAAGTAACTTGATCAATAATTTTTAAACAAGACAGTTTTACATAAGAAACTAATCCCCCAATGCACAGAGTTACTAAAGTGTATGAAAGGAAAAAGAGGAAACCCATTACTTAGGGTTTAGCTAGTGATACTACCTACTCGAGCAGTAGACACTCTTCACGCGATTTTGGTGGACGAAAGTTACGAATCCCCATTTTTAGAGGTGAACAACAAAAGGTATTCAGCTTTTTGACAACTTGAAAAAAACAAAATGTTCTCCACTCTATGTTTACCAAAGAAACTCCAGTGACTAAGTTAAGTCCTCCACGCCTCTACGCCTCGACACCTGGCTCGCCCAAGCAGGGGAAGACCAACACGAAGCCAAACTGGCCAACACGAAAACCTTGTTTGAAGATTGTGGTGTGGGGAAGGGGTTTGGAAGAAAATGATTGTGTTTAGGTTTGGAAGAAAACTTTGGGTTGGGAAATATATTTGGGAAGAAAATATATATATTATTCACTCCATTCATATCTCATCCATCTTTCTAATAGATACATATTCATATGCACTACTTGATTCTTAATTTATTGTACTAGTAAAAGAAGCTTGTTTACGTGCTATATATGTTTCAGTTTTACTGAAACCGAAGCGTATAAAAGCGTGGTGACATTTTTGTAATTTTAGAAAACTTATATACCTCAGTTTATAGAAAACTGAAGCGTAAAATGTCTACTGCCTCGGTTAAATCAGAAATCGAGGCATGAAGTCTCACCAGCGCGCACTTAAATCACGTTATAAAAGCTAACATAATTTTTGAATAAGGTCTACTACTTTGGGTATCAGTAGAACCGAAGCAGAAAAGCTTTCCAACATCTGTTACGCGCCAACCGAGGCGTATAACACGTATATGTATTCAAATTTTAATTATTTTCTGAAAGTTTAGGCATCGGGTATGGTTCAAACGAAGTCAGTATGCCCCTATTATCTCAGGTAAATCTATAACCAAGGTAGTATACTCATATATATTTTGTTTTCACGGTACCCTTCTCACTATTCCTCTTCTTCTCTCTCGCTTAAACCTCCTTCTCACTTTTCCTCTTCTTCTCTCTCGCTCAAATCTCATAGCCACCACTCCGTCGCTCCGTCGCCACCAATATGCCGCTATTCTCACGCAAGATTGAGCCTCACATTGCCTCCCGCTGCGTCGTCCCCTGCTTCTCACGCAAGATTGAGCCTCACATTGCCTCACGCTCCCTCCTCATCATCGCCGGCATGCTGCCTCGACGCCATTGTTGTCACGCTCCCTCGTAGTGTAAGACCTATATAAATAAAATGATTTCT